CCCCCCCCAATGCATCTGACAAATGCTCGCGCAGGAAATCCCCTCGGCAATTTCAAGTCGGCTTTATAGTCCAGCCGGAGCTCGGCCGCGGCGGCAGCATGCCCCCCTTCGGGTATCTGCGGATACTGGCCGCCAACAAGTTGATCCACTCGCACCGGTTCTCCACCTCCTTCTATGACATCTCCGACCCGCTGATCGACTTGACGCCGGCCCTGATGCCGATGCTCCAGGCGCACGCGCGCGACAACCTCCCCTGCTCGCTGCAGCTGCTCGTCCTTTCCGCCGTGCCGGTCCCCTTTGTCCTGGTGCCGGTCATCCTGTCCCGGCCGCTGTCCATGGAGACATCCATCAGCCGTGTGGTCATCCAGTCTGACCAGCTGATCCAGGTGTATCGCGAGCGCGAGGCCCAGCGCGAGGCCGCGGCGAAGGCCGCCGCCGCGGCCGATGGCGACGACGATGGCTTCGTCATCGAGGCGGCCAGCACGCGCGTGGCCCTGCGCGACACCGCGGTGCGCCCTGCCTCCCCTGTCTTTGCCCCCCCCCCCCCCCCCCCCCCGCCCCTCCCCCCGCCCCTCTCTCTTGTCTTTCACTGGGCACGTGTCGTCTCTTCGGTCCGGTTGCTGACCCTGCTCCCCCGCGCGGCCCCGCTGCTCCAGCTGAGTCTCATGCGGCTCACGCGGCCCGTGCGATCGCTCAACTGCCGCCACGCGCAGTGCTTCGAGCTGACGGCCTATCTGGAGGTCTCCTTCCACACTGCCAAGTGGGAGTGTCCCCTGTGCGGCAACAGCGCCCCCATCGACACGCTTTTCATCGATCCGTGCGCCGATTGCCCTGCCCCGCGCCACTTCACACTGCCACGCCCGGATGTCCCCCGCTCCCCCTTGCAGCTGACCCCTCCCCCTCCCCCTCCGCCTCTCCCTCCTCTTCTTGCTACCCCATTGGGCCATCTCCCGGCCAGGCTCTATGTCCGCATTCTGTCCGAGGTCCCGGCCGATGTGGACTACGTCCTGCTCGAGCCGGACGGCTCCTGGCGTCTCGAGGGCCACACCCCGGCGTCCAATCCCCCCAGCGCCAGTGCCAGCGCCAGTCGCTCGCAGGTGTCCTCCCCGGCCAAGCGCCCCCGGCTGGATGGCAACTCGCTCGAGCTGGCCGAGCTGGCCGAGCTGGCCGAGCTCTGGTCCGACTCCGAGGGCCTGCTGGGCAATGAGGGCTCGGCCACGCCCACGCCGGCCACCGGGTCGGCGTCAATCCTGTCGCCCGCGCCTCCCGGGCCGCCGGAGGCGGCCGGCGCCGCCGATGTCATCGATCTCACCCTCAGCGATGACGATGTGCCGCCGCCGTCTCTCGGCGTTCCCCCAGCCAGCCACCACCACCACCAGCAGCCGCAGCAGCCGCAGCCGCCGCCGCAGCAGCCGCCGCCGCAGCAGCCGCCCCTGTTGGTCCCCACCAAGCGCTCTTACTCGCAAACCAACCTCCACACCCGGGATGGCGGCTCCTCCAGCCACATCAACCATTCGTCGCCCTTCTCCTCCAGCACGTCGCTGCCCTCGCTTGTGTCCTCCTCCGGACCAACGCCCAGCCACTCCGGCGGCTTCGGTGGCTCCGGAAGTTCCAATGGGTCCGGGAATTCCAGCGGCTCCGGCGGGCCGGCCACCAGCCACCCCCCCGGCGGGTGGTACAACCCCTCGGCCTTCGGGCCCGGGTCCTATGACTCCGACAATGCCAGCATCCTCAATGACATGTCGGTTCGGGACTTCATCTCCTCGATCAGTCTCCCTGCCTCCCTCGCTTCACATTCCCCCAGCGACTTCGGTGTACGTCCGCCATCGGCGCGCCGCCCGCCCTTCTGCCCGCCTCCTGACACTCCCTCCTCTCGCCCTCGCCCCCCCGGTCCTGCGCCTTGACCAATGCAGCACGCCCATGACACCCACCCGGCGGGCCCCGCTGGTGGACAACCGGTGCCGCAGTCGCAGTCGCAGTCGCAGTCGCAGTCGCAGTCGCAGTCGCAGTCGCAGTCGCAGTCGCAGTCGCAGTCGCAGTCGCAGCCGCAGCCGCCGCCGCCGCAGCAGCAGCCCCCGTCACAAATGCAGCCACGGCACCATCCGCCACACCGCTCTTTCGCCGCACCAGCCAACGGCAGTATGTCCTCCACTCCGCCCGGCAGCCGATAGAGCAGTGTCCGAGCCCGGGGCCTTTGCCAGCGCCGTTGTCGCCGCTGGTCTCCCTCCCCCCCCCCCCTCCTCTTGTCCTTGAGCCTTCATCCCCCTCACCTAACTCCGGCTGGCCGCGCGTTCCTGCCCTCGCTCTTCCATCACCACCCCATGCGCATGCAGGCCGGTCGCCCTTTGCCCCGGCCCCGGCCCCGGCCCCGGCCCCGGCCACAGCTAGGCCCGCACAACTGCGCATCCCCCATCTGTTTGACGCGTCATCCCCGGCCGGCCCGATGGAGGTCGATGATCTGCCACCAGTACCGCGGCAGCCCCCACAGGCGGCCGGGCCGCGCGCCAACGCCGGGCCCCCGCACGCGCTCCACATCCCGCACATCCACCCGCGGGTGGCTGATTGAGTCCCCC